TTCATTATGTAGAAATATCTTATTCAAATGTATTTAAAATAATACTAACAGATTTTACAACAATCATACACAAATCAGATTTATGCTTTATTTTCTAGTCCTGAAAGAACAGGTACATTCAACTTAGCTTTTCGTAAATATTTTGCTTTATTTTCCATTCAACAGGATCAGATCAAATCAAATGTTATGGTCTTAAAATGAAACACAGCCAAAACCTAGTTATTAAAATTAATAATAGCAATATAATAAAACAAATTAAAATATTTTAACTCTCATAATAGATACTTTATAGAACCAGTGCTATGGAATCACAGTCATATGACAATTCTTTACTGCTATTAAACAAAACATTAACAATTAAAATATTACTTTTGTATCCCTGTCAGGTAAAAGGAACTGAACATAAAATTTTGTCTAAATGTACAAGATTTTTTAAAAGATTGAATTAACCTAAGGTAGGAATCAAGAGTAAAATTGACAGAGTAGAGTGCAAAATGTTCACTTGATTCAGTATCACCTGAGTCATACAGACAGAATCTTGAGGACATTGCAATTTTACAAAGCTTGTCTTCTAAAGAAAAAAGTTTATGGTAGAGCATTAAATTGGGTTGGGAGATGCCCATCAATATTTACGATGGATGAATGAATACCAAAGAACCACCAGGATAAATCTGTAAGCATCAATACATAATATAGATTCATCTCAGTCCTTCTGTAATGCTGTGTCCTAGTTCCTCTGTTTAACAATCATCTTAGCCTTATCTAGTCCTTGATATTTGATACATAAGTGAAAGGCCATATGAATGTAATTAGTTTGAAATGCTTTCCCATCATGTAGATCTAAAATTGTCAGATGGTATTAGTGGCAGCAGCCCAACTGAGGCCTGGATATGCCTTAGTGAAGTTGTCAGCATAACTAGTTGAAATGTTTGGCAGTATTAGTAATGCATGAGGAACCCAGCTAGGCAACTGAAAAAGAGTTCTTAAGAAATGTGGTAGAACTTTTGCATAGGAAACATACTTCACACGAGGTCTTAAAATTTACATATGAGGACTATGCCCTATATAATAACCAAGCAAATGATTTCATAAATAAATAATAAATAAGTGCTATTGGAATATAATTTATCCTTGTTTTTGATGGAAGATAGGGGCAAATTTATATACACAGAAACATTTTCCAAAGTAGTATTCAAAAAATAAAGTATTAATTTCCTGAGTTCATAGTCTTTTAATTACTCTCAATAAAAAACCCATATATCTGGAACATTTTAATATGGGATGGTATTCCTTTTGTTTTATGAAATGTTTCTCTTCCCTTAAATTTGGAAAAGCGATGATTTGACTTTTGAGAAGTAGGTAGTATAGTAACATGACATTTTCTCAAAACATTTAAAAGAAACAGTAACCTTTACTAAAAATAAATATGAGCCTGTATAATAGCAACAAAGAATTATATTGCCTGTGTACCTTGGTTTTAAAAAGGAGATATTTTGAAATGGAATTTACAAGGACTCAAGTATTCCCATGCTTTGCTGTAAAAAGGAGTTTATAGCTTTTGGATATTCAAAGGAGAAAATCAATTTATTTAGATGCGGTCCAGAACCATTAATTCATAAAAAATGATTAATGAATTGCAAAGGCAGGAAGTGACAGCCAACTCCAAAGAAGGGCATTGTAAAGAAGAAGAAGCTAAAAATCAATATAAAACAGCATACAGTAATGATGCATAGGTCTAGTATATTCAGCTCTCACAGTAAAGTTTATTTCTATAAAAAAAATATCATTGTATGTCTTGCAAGGTAATCTACAGTTTGAAAATCCTAGCTTGCACAGAATAGTTTGAGCATGCTTAGGATGAAATGGATTTTGCTGGCCAAAAATGCTCCAACTAATAAGTTCTGTATTTATGAGCAACCTGTATTTATATATGACTTAAGTTTCTGGTTCTCCAGCAGTGGTGACTTTAAGAAGAGATTGGACAACCATTTTTCTGAAATGGTATAAGGTTTCTTGCTTGAGCAGGAGTTCCACTGGAAGACCTCCTTCCAACCCTTCCTTCTCTGTTGTTCTGTTAGTTAAAAAGGATTGCCACTTGTGGGAACTCTTGGTATAGTTCAAACCGGTTGAAAGAAGCTGTGAATGAGTAAACTGTAGACAAGAGAATGATTGCTCCAAAAATCCGAGAAAATTTATGATGTACTAGCTCAATACCCATGCTTCGCTACAAAACTATGTGGTTGGGCTTAGTTTTGGGGGGAGGAAGATAAGGGGGGAAAAATTCTGCCTCTGCCTACCAGCATCCATCGGTATTAATCTGGCTGGCGTCTTGTTAGTGTGTGAGAGAGTTGAGGGCTGTTTGGAATCTGAAACATTTGCTGTGTGAGCAAGGAGACAGTAAGGAGCCTTGGCGTGGCTTAGCTCAACTGTTCTGTACTAAAGCTGCTCCATGCTGTGAAACTAAAAGTGAAACTGAAACTCCTCTCCTCTGCTTGTTTTTTGCAATCACTTGGAACCAATTTCTTTTCTTTTTTCTGTCCCAATTCTTCCAAAATTTAATTTAATTGGCTGATCTCTGGTTCTAGTATTTTGGGAAGGGAAAATAGCTTTTCCTTGTCCATTTTAAACATATCATTAATAATTTTGTACATCTCAATAATGCTACCTCTCATTTACCACCTTTCTACATTAAAAATCTCCAAATGTTGCAATGATTCCTTTGGAAGCAGTTCCAGCCACTTGATCATTTAATTGCCCTCTTTTGAACCTTCTTTAGCTCCATTATTTCTTTTTGAGGTGCAGTGACCAGAATTACATATGATAATCCAGATGAGATTGCACATTTGATTTATATAAGGATATTATGATTGTGGTATCTCTATTTTCAGTATCATTTCTTATTGTCCCTCAAACGATGTTGGCCTCTCCCCTCCTCCACAGTGGATGCACACTGAGGAACACTTTCATTTAACTGTTTACTGTTAAAGATATCCCAAAATCTCTTTCCTCAGCAATCACTCCTAACTCTGATCTTATTACTTTATAGTGTGAGGACTTTTGGCACCAATGTGTATCAATTTATATTTGTTCATGTTGAATGATCTGCTCCATTTTAATACCTACTCCTTTATAGTTCTATGAACATCCTGGCCCTATGTCTGAGGGAAAAGCCAAGTCTTTACCACTTTCCTGAAGACCAACAAGATCACAACCATCCAAATCTCTGATGGGAAGCTGTTACACAAGACAGATGCCATAACAGAAAAGGCATGCTTCCAAGGCCCCACTAGACAACATTGCTTCACTGATAGGAATCAGAGCATGCCCATTCTGCCAGATCTAGTAAGATAGGCAGAAACCATCAAGCATATGCAGTGCTATAATGTGCTCAGCATGGGGTTACTTTTAAAGACCATCTGGATTCTGGAAGCTTCAGTTGGTCCAGAAAGTAGTAGCATGGCTAGTTATAGGCATACAACTATTTAACACCTCTACTTTGCAAACTCTCCTGGCTTCCTATTAGCCTTTGGGTGCAATTCAAGGTGCTGTTTGCTACGAACGAAGTCCTTTAAGGAGCAGTGTAAGACTCTAATCTCTAATTGTATCTGTCCATCCCATGACATCTGAAAGAGTGGATCCACTTCAGGCCCTTTCCATGAATCAATACCATATAATCTAACCAGACAGTGCCTTCTTTGTCTCTGTTCCTGTCCTTTGGAACAGCATAACCTTGGAAGCCTTCCGTGAGACTTTACAAATGTGGATGTTTCCTCCAAGCCTCAGATTAAGATGTTGGAAGAGCTCATCCATTAAAATGTCTATGGAGATTCTCAGTCACCCAGGTCATCATTGTCCCAAAGGTGCTTTTTCCAAGAGGCAACTGGACTTTTTTTTTTTTTTTTTTTTTTGAAGACGTTTCACTTCTCATCCAAAAAGCTTTGAGCTGAAGAAGCTTCTTGGATGAGAAGCGAAGCCTCTTCAAAGAAAAAACGGACAGTCTCTTGAAAAACTACCTTTGGGACATCCAGTAAATGGTTTAGGATTCATATATATTGGCTTTTTTTTTGGCCTTAGCTTGCACCATATTATATTGTGTTTTTTGTGTAGTTTATTTTGCTGAGTTTGTTTTTTTTAAAAAAAACTATGTTAGGCCATCCAGTCACATTTTGCAAGTTGGGCAGAAATAGACATCAGTTGGCTGGTCTCTAAATAAATTAATAAATAAAAGAAATAGTTGGTAGAATGGAGATCCTGGAGACCATTCAAGGACAAATATCACCCTCAAAATTAACTAGTCCAACTGCAACCCCTTCCGAAGCCATCACATATCACTCCCGCAACAACGGCGTTTTTGCTTTCCATACAGCCCCCCCTCCCCGGCTCCTAGAGGTTGGCTGGAAAAGCTTCTTGTTCTCCAAGTATATTTTGTGGTACTAAAAATGGAGAAGGGATAGTTATACTAGCATCCCCCGCAGAGTGCCCCTAGATGCAGGAGTCGGGATTTAAGAGGAGGACGGCTGAAGCGTCTCTGAGGCTGTTATTAGTTCGGCAGCAGACACCTCGCCCCCACCTCTCCTCCCGCCAATTGAGAAGCCACAGCCGCCTTTTGTCTCCTAATTATTTTGTCTTGCTTCAGAAACAGGCCGCAGCGAAAGCAGCATTTCTCCATACGGGCTTCCTCCCAGGCAGTCTAACTGGCGCCGGCCTCGCTTGCACCACCGCTTCCATTTTCTGTGCTGTCTTTCCAGCCCCTCCCCCCACCCCCGCGCGCCTTCCTTCCTTCCTTCCCTCAGTCTTCTTCTCGCCCGTGTGACATCACACGCACGTTCCCTCTCGGCCCTTCGGCGTATGTAAATGTGGTCCCTTGTTTGGAGTGGGGGGGGGGCGGGGGAGGAAGTTGCCCGGATGTTGGGAAGCACCTCCCCTTTGTTGTTGCTTGCTCGTTGGCGTCTTCGCTCCTTCGTCTCGTCTCCGCCTCCTTCTCTTTTTCTCCCCCCTCCCCTTTCCCCCTCCCCCTTCTCCAGGTTGCGGGTCAGCGCGAGCCACTGCAGCAGCAGCAGTTAAAACCGTCGGGAACCGCCACGAGCCGCTCCGGCCTTGCACCAAATAACAGCCGAGCGCGCGAGTCCCGGGCTGCGGTAGAGCCGCGAGGGGGGAGGCAGGCAGGAAGGAAACAGTCGTGCGCTTGCGGTGGTGGCAGCAGAAGCAGCAACAGCAGCAGCGAGGGGAGAAGACGAAGAGGCGGCTTGGCACTCGGCTGTGGATTTAGCTGCGGGCAAGCCCTCAACACCCTCCCGCCACCATGGTAAGGGGGCCGACGGGTCTCTCCGCGTCCATCTTCCGAGGGCCTTGGCGGAATATTCTAGGGCAGTTAAAAGGGATGAGGACGAAGGCGGGTTTCTCTTTTATTAACAGAAAAGGGAGGTCCTCCCCCCCCTCCCCGGCCTCGTCTTTTCCGCCTGCGGAAACGGCAGGCGCTGCTCTCCTCCTCTCGCGTCAGGCCTTCACAGAGCGCCAAGACCCTCTGCGTCAGGGGTTTCCTCTCCCTCCTCCTCCTCCTCCCCCCGGCCTAGCAACCCCCCCTTTCCCATGGTTCCCCATCGGCGGCAATGACGTCCTTTTCACATGGTCCCCGCTCCCTTCAGAGGCTAGCCGATCGCCTTTCCCCGCAGCACCCCCTCCCCCCGGGACCGCATGCATATTTTCTCCCCTCAACTGAGGCTTCCCCCGCCTTTCCGGTAGTTCCCGTCACCCATTGGTGACCTCTTCCCTGCAGTGCCCCACCCCAGCCAAGCAAATATATTTAGTGCCCCCCTTTTTCGCCCGCGAAATGTCTGCTTTTCCCACCTGCATGCCTGAGAGCATGCTTCTTTCTATTCTGAACTCCTCCTCCTCTTCATCTCCGTAGGGGGAAAAAAAATATTCTGCGAATTCACTTCATCCCACGCAGCTTCTCTTGCGCATTCACGTTGCTTCCTACTGCACCCTCCTGTAATTTTTTTTTCTACTTTGTACTCCTGCTACCTACTAAGAACTCTTTCTTCTACTTCCCCATGGGTTATTTCTTATTCAATGTTACCCAGTTCTGTGTGCCTGGTAACAGCCTTGTACCTCTGTGGAGAAACTTCACTCATGGATGCATGCTAAGAATTGTTGGCTGCATTTAATCCATAAAAGTACTTTTGAATAGCGAGGAAGAGGTATTTCTTTGGGGAGCGCCTTTTTAATTACCTTGACTGTAGTAAGAAGGGTGTTTAATAACTTATTCAAGAGGGACGAGTTATGGTATCAAAAAGGAGCCTTCTAAAAACCCACATTATAAGATTTTATATTTATTATGGCATAAGCTTTCTTCTTGAGATGGACTAATGTCTACTTCATCAGATAAGAGAGATAGAAACTGCAGCCTAGGCATATCTTTGTGTGCAATGAGCCATTCTGGACATAGTTACACTATTTTGTATATATATCATGCACATTTCTACATGTGTGTGTGTGTATATATACACACAAAATGGGGAGGGGGTCTGTCATAATTACAGATATTGGACTAGACCAGGGGTCTCCAACCTTAGCAACTTTAAGACTCTCCAACCTTAGCAACTTTCAACTCCCAGAATTCTGGGAGTTGAAGTCCACAAGTCTTAAAGTTGCTAAGGTTGGAGACCCCCTGGTCTAGACAATATTTTTCAAAGTAAATCCAGTGTTAAATGGAACTCAGATGTGTGCATCACATCCTATTCAATAGCTATTTTAACTGTTTATATCCATCCAGATATCCCTGTATTTTACAGTTATACCAAGTTGCTTATGTCTGATCTTCCATACCCTATATGCAATTGTATCTGATCAATCTTATAATCATAATTGTCCTGGAATTGCTCCCTCTCTCCTGTTCTCAATGTGTCCAGATTTCTTGTGTTATCTCTATGTTTCTTCATTTGTTTTAGTTTGCTTTATCAGGATTCCAGCGATTGTCACCCTAATCTTTCTTGAAACTTATATTCCTAGAGGAAATAGATTTTCAGACCCAGTTATCTTTATCATATAATTTCCACAACTGATTATTTTTCAGTCCTAAATATCTTCATTGTAGTTCAATCTTCAAACTTTAAGTTTGAATGCAGCAGTAAACAGAAACTTGTAGAAATCATACTAGATAGCATTCTGAGTATTGACTTAAATTATGTTAAATCTGAAATACACAATTTGGAACAACTAAGTTTGAATATAATATAGTGGATAAAAATGATAAAGTAGAATATAATATCTTAGCTGTAAATCATGGTAATAAAATTGTACTGCTTGCTGCTATAAATGCATAAATTGATACTGTTCCTGTAGTATTTTATTTTAACACTAGGGGTATTTCCTGTTTGCTGCTATTACCAAGAATCAGTTCCCTTTTTCAAAAACACTTATATTAGCTTTGTTTATATATTGTATATAGTATGATTTTTCTTATTGTATCCTAGCTATTTCATGTATTATCTTACAAAAAGATTCCAAAAATGTTTTTTCTGCTTAAAATGGGGAAATTCAATTTATAAACCAACATTTTGAGGAATAATAATGGAAATAACGGTTGCAGTGGTAGATGCATTAGAAATATATGTTAGATAGGGTAGGCAAAGTAAAAAAGAAAGCTTGCAAGCCTTTATGTGGGCTATGGTAAATGGTTGATACACTTAAAGTTGAAGTAAAATCAAAGTATGTCATTTTAGATATATTTGTCTGTATATGTCTCTTGAGAAAGCTCTTTATTGAAAAGTATCTGAATTATGATGATGATAACGATGATGAATTATTATTAGATTATCCTATAGGCAGTGGAATTCTAGTTGCTTTGATTTATTGTGACAGTGTTAATCTATTTAAGAACCCAGGGATGAGGTTTTTGAGTCCCATTAATTTTTCTAGCAAATTTGGAAATAAGTTAACTTATTTATGTATTTATTAGGCGCTTCAGAGGTATAAGCACATCCAGATATTGTATGTATTTTACAGAAAGATACTTTGTTTCAGTTAGGATCCTAAAGCCATTTGCTATGTTATAGAGAGTGATGATTGTTGCTATTATTTAGAACTTAAAAGTGCTAGGTATTCAGTAGTATATACCCTTTTTCAGTACTCATCAGTGAATGGAGGCCTGGAATAGAACTAAAAGATGAGTTCCATATGGAATTATACTATACCATGGTCAGCCAGAGTAATTAACACAGAGGTGTTAAATCATATAAAACCAGACACATCACTAGAAGCTAAAATCATATGACTATATCTGATTTGCTTTGCCCATGTCATGCATGCAAATTCATTGGAGAAGGCAATGATGCTAGGAATGGTTAGTGGAATAAGAAGAAGGGGCAAGAAAGAACACGTTGGCTTGATAACATCAAATCTTATACAAAGTTGAACATCCAACAATTGAAAGAAGCTATGCTTGACAGGGTAGCAAGGCACTTGCCTATAAAGTCACCAACAGTCGGACAGGACTAAATGGTACATACAGATTTATGACTTTGGCCTAGTACTATGAATTGCTTCAGTGATTGCAAAAAGATCAAATTGTATTTTTCTCTATTTCAGATGTGTGGGTGTTTTACAGTTGCATGGTTATTGACTTTCTAGGCAATCTTTTAAAAAATCTTGTGTATGTGTGTGTGTGTTAAGGGAATATTTCATTAGCTGCACAATTTGATTTTTCAAAGTTTCTCTTGCCAGGACACCATATGTTCCTATCACTCAGGCTACGGTATTTTCTGTGTATTCAGATATTCTTCATGGAAAACACACATAAATATTAAGATTACCTTGTATGTAGCGTGGGTAGAACGTTGCTTTCTAGATACTTTCTCTGATGTAATTAATAGTAAGAAACTGACTCTTCATTCTCCATTGCACTTGCTTTCTAGTTTAGAAAATTTGTAGTTAAAATATTTAAGATTCTATGCACTTCACAGTAAGGAAATACATTCAATTATAATTTAAAATATGCAAACATTTATTGGAGATTCTACTACTCTTCCATTTTTTTCCTATACACAGCAATTCTGCAACTACCATTTAAAAGGAATTGGGTCAATTCTAACAGTTTGGCTGATTCTGTAGAAAGGTTTTAAACATTCATTCTGTTATAAGTGTTGATTTTATAAAATTATCTTAACTTTATTAAAATATTCTTAATATAATAATGGAATAATAATAACTAGAGAGGATCACACAATATCAATATCTGAACATTTAAGTTAAAAATTATGGCATAAACTGGCCCCACCAAGTGGTTATTGGCACATTAGGTGCCATACCAGAAAGTCTTAGATGGCACTTAAAAATCTGGATAATTGACCAAGGTTTCCATCTGTCAGTTACAAAAGGCCACACTATTTGAATCCACACACATGATATGCCAATATATTACAATATCATAGATTCTTGGGAAGAACTTGGTGTGAATGAAGGTCATCATCAGCTAACTGGCAGCTGTTATTTCATATTGTGTATATAATGGAATAAGGAATTTGTGTATTTCTGTAGGAGCTTTCTACCAGAGAAAGCTGTAGGAGCTTTCTACTTTTACTGATATGCAGTAAAAGTATTAACAATATTTGTAGTTTCCTAAAAACTAATTAAATTACATAATGTTTCATTTTATTAATAGAGAATATGATTTATATATAGAATTGCATAGCTAATCTTTGACTTTCATCTAGCTGCTAAAATAATGTCTTGTGTTTTGTCACTTAACAATCAATTCAAGGTTGTAACAGACCACCTCAGAACTACTTACAATCTGTTTTTGAAGTTATAACAGCCACAAACCCTCCCTGTGGCCATGTGATTATATTTTGGGCATTTGGCAACATTTTTTGCCAGTTTCTGGCATTTATTTCTGTTTTCTGGCAAAAACACCAATTGGGGAAAATTGATTCTCTTTTTAATCATGGCATCGGGTGGGATGCTACTGGTTCTGCCCGGTTCTATAGAACCGGTAACTCTGAAGAGCAGCAGACATCAAACTGGTTCTGTGTCTGCTGCTGTTTTGGCCCACCTGCCCGCCCAGGCTCTTACCTGTCCTTTATTTCCTGCTCTTTCAAACTCAGCTGCTTTGCGCGGCACAGCTGAGGTTGAAAAAGCAGGAAAAAAGAGGCTTTTCAAATGCTGCGCACCTCCATGCAGTATTTTTCAGCTGTCCAGGTGGCACAGCTGAGTTTTTGTTTTTTTTTTACACGTGCGGGTCTTCAAACTTGACAGCTTTAAGATTTGTGGACTTCAACTCCCAGAATTCCTGAGCTAACATGACTG